ATATCTCTCTATCTATTTATCTATCTATCTATCTATCTATCTATCTATCTATCTATCTATCTATCTCTCTCTATATCTATCTATCTATCTATCGATCTATATATCCATATATCTCTCTATCTATTTATCTATCTATCTATCTATCTATCTATCTATCTATCTATGTATCTATCTATGTATCTATCTATTTATCTATCTATCTATCTATCTATCTATCTATCTATCACACTCTATAGTCTATAATAGTGCTACGTATAGTCTTGCACACTCTGTATCAAGTGTCGGTGCAAAGTGAGTGTTGTTACAACAATGACATGACAGTCATGCAAGCCAGTGCAAAGTGAATCCCGTCTGCATGTGGGCCGGTTTATTTACCGCTACAGGAGTGCGTTGATGTAACGCTGCTGCAGGGGCATGATTTTTTCATCATTTTTTCGTTTTGCGATGTCAGATGACCTCGGAAGACAAATCCAATGTACCCATGTTCCAATGTATCCAAAGTTACATGTAATGGCCATCCTTGGACATATATAGAGTGGCCGATATCGATTTGAATCGAGAACAGACGAACAGAGAAACTTCCACAAATATGTATTAGATATGCGGGTAGTGTACATGTGTCATCATCACACCATTGGGACTATTTCGCTCCTAATGTCGACTTACGTCACACGCATACCGTGACCGTGATCAGCGCACGGCGCCCGGGTGTATGGTGCGTGAATGTGTCACACTAAACTCCACGACAGATGGCGCTCTCGTTCTAGCTCAATTCACGAGTTGTACGAAGGGGACGCTACATGCAGTTTGGTGTCACCCCCGGCACCCGATATCACGCTGCCCCGGTTGCGAAAAAAGTTATATGGCTGAGCATGCGCGCGAACTGTAAAGTCAATGAATGCGCTTGTGTTGCGGCTCGGTATGATGACGCGCGGTCGTCGTTCCACACAAAAAAGTTATTGTTTTCCTAAAAACTCGACCAACACCAACGCGTGACACAAAGGCCTATATAGTCCTATATACAACAGGACGCCCACCAGCAGTTTATTTAGTCTAAGATGCCCTAGTGTAGTCACTACAGTAGGAACATATTTACTTGCTCCGAAATCGCACAGCATATCCTACACGCTAACAGCATGTTGATTTGGTCCACGGTGTCACAGTGATTTCTGTACAGGAAGTTGTTGATTTGGTACAGAAAGGTCACTGTAAACTCTATTCGGTAACAACATGTTGATTTGGTCCAAGATGTCAAACTAGATTCTATCCAGCATTGTTGATTTCACCCGGGTGGCATACATGCAATTGTATATTTATCTGGTGTTATCCAGCGTATGACAGTTACAGAGGCGTGCCAGGAACCGCGTGGGACAGCGCACGCCAATACGTGCACTACAAAAATAATAATAACCGTCATTCACCCCTCTCTCTCGCTTTCTATCTTTCTCTCTCTCTCTCTCTCTCTCTCTCTCTCTCTCTCTCTCTCTCTCTCTCTCTTCCTATATATATATATATATACATCGTAATCTCCCTCAATCTCTCTCGCCCCATCTCACTGCCTCGCTGCTTCTCTCTCTCTCTCTCTCTCTCTCTCTTTTCGTCTAGCTTTCTGTTTTTTCTTTTTTACTCTCTCCCCATCTCCCTTTCTCCATCTCGTTTTCTCTTTTCGTCAGTCTGTCTCTCTCTCTCCCCCCTCTCTCCTTCTCTGCGCCGCTATCTTTCTTCCTTCCCTTAATTCCGCTCTTCCTTTCTCTCTCTCATTTTCCCGCTCTCATCTGCATATATGCATGGCGTCTACGTCTGCGAACACGTGCGGCACAACCATGCACAGTGGCAGCAAGCAGGTTCCTCCCTCTATGTTAGCCCTAGCTCTAGAACTATAGCCCTTCACTCTGCCATAAGCCTATAGCCCTTCACTCTGCCATAGGCCCATATCTCTTCACTCTGCCATAGGCCTATAGCCCTTCGCTCTGCGCCATAGGCCTATAGCCCTTCGCTCTGCCATAGGCCTATATAGCCCTTCGCTCTGCCATAGGCCTATAGCCCTTCGCTCTGCCATAGGCCTATAGCCCTTCGCTCTGCCATAGGCCTATAGCCCTTCGCTCTGCCATAGGCCTATAGCCCTTCGCTCTGCCATAGGCCTATAGCCCTTCGCTCTGCCATAGGCCTATAGCACTGGCAGCAAGAACAAGCCCGCACGTACAACACATACGCGGCCATTGACTATATATAACTACATAGTTGTATTATATAGTCAATGGCCGCGTGTGTGTTGTACGTGCGGGGTTGTTCTTGCTGCCAGTGGCATATAGCCCTTCGCTTTGCTACAGGCCTGTGGCAGAGCGAAGGACTATAGTTCTAGAGCTATGTTAGCCCCAGCGCCACCCCGACATCCCCACCCATCCGCCAGACCCGCCCAGCCAAATGCATGCATGTCAGCCTCCGGGGATACGTACGGTACTGCCCTTTCCGCACTCTCCCCTCCTCTTGCTATCTGCGCGCAAACCTGATTCCTCTCGATCGGAGCATTGTTCGTGTGGCGCGATGCAGGCATTGTTATGGCGGGAAGACGGTGGCCGCCTGGGGCCGCCACGATACGCTATACGCGGGGTGAGTGACCTCGCACGCGGACCCGGGCGTTTTCGACTGCGGCGGATTCACCGCAGAGTCTATCTACCACCGAGTATCTAGACCGAATCGTGAGGCTAATTGAGTATTATCGCTAATGCCTCCTCCTCTCTCGCTCCTCTCTATGTGTGTGTATATACGCGCTGGGCGACTAGTAGGTGTACGTATAACTACCAGGTGTAGCGAGCTGTGTGTCATTGTGAGTTCATCGTGGTAGATAGCGGGTGGCAGTTACATAGTCAGACGGATGTGCGCGAGGTAATCCCCTTATTCATGCACGCGATTTTACGTTGTCGTGTTGTGTTTTTTATATCGTGATCTTACCGTGCCAGGCTGAAACTGAGCTGTGTGTTGTTGTTGTTTTACACCGGGAGTCCGCATGACTGCGCTCTGGCGAAAATGACCGTGTGTTCGTGAAAAGGTCACGCATGTAACCGCACGCACACACACGCACACGCACATGCACGCGCGCGCGTATAGGCAGGCAGACAGGCACGTACGCACACACACAAAAACTAACACACACGTGTACGCGCGCACACACGCACACACGCACGCACGTAAGCACACACACAAACACAAACACACGACAAACACACACACACGTACACACACACACACGCACACACACACACACACACACACACACACACACGAGCACGCACGCAGACACGCACACGCACGCAGACACGCACACGCACG